CTGCATCCAGAATAAATATTAATACGCAGCTGGAATAATTCCGCAAGATGGAACAGAGAGCACTTCCCGCCACATCATAATCGCAGACGGTATCATTTTGTGCATGACAAACGTCAAACGGTAGAAAATGAGAGGAAGCAAGTTCCATAACGTGCAGGCCTAATAATCACAACCATTATAATATGTTCGTCAACAAGCTACAGAGGACGTACCAAAAGTAAGTTTCCTATTTTGCCTCTCCCAGCGCAAATGCTATTAGCTCTTATTATCCAAACAGATATAAATGCCCTTCACTAAGGAAAAGAAGTAAAATATAACTTTGTCCTACGTCCTTTGTAAATAGGATCTTAATCCTTTAAAAACGATAATTATTCGAAAAGCCAAACTTTATAGAATTAACCTTTTAATGCACTCGCTGTAATAATCCGGACAACCATAGGACGCAGGTACATGTGCGATGTGCGGAATGAAAAGGCTGCAATTCAGATTTTCAGATGCGCATTGCAGAAGACACAGACGTTTATGCTAAATATTTTCCTGTTGAGCACGACTGCCCTGAAAACGAATTCTGCAAGCGCCGAATCTGATAAAGAAAGAACGCTTTGATGTGCACTTACCCAGCAACAGCACCATGAGATGAGTCAGTGGTCCTTATCTCAGCATGTTCAAGTGTTGATGTTTTCCGGCATTTATCTGGGCATTCTCGTTCACTGCGGCCGGACAGTATCAAGTGAATATGCTCCTCTCAACTTTGTCCCTTCCGGTTATTGCGCGGTCAAGGGCACACCCGACGCTATTTCGCAATTCAAGGCCAAAGATGTTCCGCCGGAAACTCGCTGACCTTGAACCATGAATTGGCCATGCTCGATCGCTCAATCTTTCCACAAGTGCATACATACGCGGGTTACAGCGGGTACACAGCCCAGATTGCTGGATCTCACCTCCGCAATCTCCCTGAAAAAGCAAAATTCTAGACTAAATTTCATACAAACTGCTCCTCCTCGGCATATGTTTTTCAGGTGATGAATACTCCGCATATTTATTCAGTCCAAGCGGTACGCCGTGTACTTACTTTTAAAAGTAAGGAACGCAGTTCGATTCTTACAGGTAATACCTGTGATGCAAAAGCGCGGAGAGAGTTATTTTTAGCAAGAAAATATTGTTTCTGCTTCGAAAGAATTCAACAGAAAGGAAATTTGAGCACTCAACTTTTAAAAAATAAGTTAAGAGGAAAACGTTGTTGTGATTTTCCAATAAAGGCAAAAACTGTACAATTATCAAAAGTAATACTGCAACAGTAGATTCAACTAGATTGCAATTTTAAATGTATTACTTTGACTGCAGTACTATTTAAATGTATTACTGAGCTGCTTTTCATTTTGAAATTAGATAACGAATGTGCCTATTTGCAAAATATTTTGCCAGTTTTTCTCAAAATAACTTTTAAGACGATGCAGGTTGATCTACTCGCGCTGTAGTGATCGAGCGGCAGATCTTAAAATGGTGGTTGCTGCTTAAATTAATTATAGAATCAAACACGTACCTCGATTATACTGATGATTCCGCCGAATGAAGTGATTGCGCCATCACGGCAAATGTGATGACAGCGACCATAATTGTGCTTCTGGTTGTGAAGAAATGCGCTCGCTTATTTAAGCGGAAAAATCTGGAGGTTTTGCAGGCGCTCGCCAGCGAGGCTCCGTCTGACGCCGTTGAGGGCCGCTGGCGAAGGAAGTCACGAGCGCTGACTTCGAACTGTGAACTTTTCAAACGCTCAAATATTCCTTCTCTTTTCAGACTTGCATGCAGCGCACACACAACTATGCCCTAACGAGTACGAGGGACGACAAAATAACAAAGTCAAGTGGGAACGGAGTAAAGAATCTACACCGCAGTAAAGAACCGACATTGGTTAACACGACGTCCGGTGACGCGCAATGTGTGGACAATGCGTCGATGCGTGACAGCTCACGAGTCAGATGGCCGCCTCTCCCGTAATAACGTACTTCCGTTTGTTTCCGACCACGACAATCCACGTTTACGTCACCCACTTTAAGCCGCAAGGCACGCCTGCAGTAATCAAAGATCGCCGAAGTTACCGGTGCATGTAATCCAGTGAGGTGCGCATCGCCCAATACAGAGTGCACTTCGCCATACGGATTTGAACGAAATGCTATCAGTAGCTGCCGAAAGCACATACTTGATAGTTGATACTACTATATAAGTCTGAGCAGACCAACAGAGTCGACGACATGTAGCGCGATCCTTCGAGAAAACGCTGGCGGACCCAGTTTATTCAAGATGGAGGGTCTGGGAAGATACAATACATATCGCCTCTTCCGCTATTCACGGAGATTCTGACTGCCTCCAATTCAAGGGCGCAGAATTCCTTCATTCACAAATTCCGACTTCGGGGGAACTGTTGATACACGGGATACCATATAAGAAGCCATAAAATTTCAGGACTGAAAATCTGGAATTGATTAGTTTCGCAGCTAACCATGTTCGTTATCAGAAATTGTAATTAAAGGGTAACTTACAGGTTTTCATTGCTACGTTCCCCGATTATGCAAGGTGCAGGCTCCAGTGTTGATGTGTTTCCGGCATGTGCGTTACGCATCTAAAAGCGGCATGATCATTCACAATGTCCGGTCTTCGATATACGGCGTCAGAAGCACGCCTGTGGATATTACTTTGGGGAATGTCCTAACACTCACCCGAATAGGCTGCGACCCGAAGGATAATTCCGGAATGTCCTAGGTCATCGTGCTAATTTCTGCGGGAGCAAGCAGCTCGTAAGTCGTAACTATTCTGGCTCAGCATCATGAGTTGGATAGGGGCGTCGACTGTTCTCTCGAACCGGGATCGCCGCGCCAGCGCTTTCGTGCATACGTCCCTGACAGCTATTCGATCTGGATGAGGTAATGCAGTACAGTGGCTGGTCAACTTGTAAAACGGTGATGCACGAGATGGCGAGCCACTGCACTCCATTACCGACATGGTTTAGACGCTCCTTCATCGCCCTGATGTCTCGGTTGACCTCGTTCATGAAATTCTGGACCTTCTCCATCTCTTCCGGTGGTCGGCCGTCAGGAGCTGGGGATCCTGTTCGAGGTATTTGTAGAACTCGGCGACTAAGTCGTGGCACACGCGAATGACCTGCATCTCTCTATCTCCAGTTCGTGGATTCGGTCAAAGAGCGGTTGTTGGACACGATAATTTATTTTACTGGTACATGCGGTTGCAAGGCAGCACCATTTTTCGTGCACGATTATCAAATGGTACAACAGTACAGCATAATTGTACAGCCTGTAAATGTGTAATCAATCGTGTTAAAAGCTGACGCATACGTTCAGTTTTGAAAACCATTCCGGGCTAATTTATATAAATCTGTAATCACTTTTCTGTATTAAAAAGAACTGTAAATTTCTCATATTTTATCTGTCACAAGTACGTAATTATGTAAAACAATTGCAAAGTAAACTAATATTAGGAACTTCATTTGAACAGCTTACTTGCAAACATCTAAAAACAAAAAATATTTTTATTTACATAAAGAGTAAATTTGTTAGCGAAAGACTTATTTTAAGCGACAAAACCATACGTAAAGCGAATCAGTGCAGGCAAACAGCTACATTAATTTTGCTGACATGTACTAGACAGGGACTGATCGCATAACATTGGCAAAACAATTTTCCAAAATTTTTCGTTTCAGTATTTTCTGTTACTACAGTTTACGGGCTAGTTGTCGGCTTTTTCATTGCATGATGAAAAAGAATTATATTTCATTGACACTTTTTTGTTTTATTTCAAAAATGCAGTTTCTTTCCCGTGTATGTTGTATCTAGATCTGTACTTCTGTTAATTTTATGCTACCCCTTTTTGAAGTATGAGTCCGATTGGTTACTGCCCTAGTGATGTACGGCTGCGGTATACTTGTACATGTACATTGGTCACCATGCATGAGAAAGGGCTTGCTAGTTTGTTAATTATAGGAAAAGCTGCAAAGGACATGCGTTTTACAACAGATGTTATTTGGATGCTTTATGTCATCCAGACATCAGTTTAGCTGACCTGGCGCTTACATAGTCTTATTCTTACATGTTCTTACTTACACATAAATTAATTTTAGTATATCTCTTTCAGTTTTTATGTATATCAGAATACCTTTTGTAGATCCACACAAACGCGCATAAACGATTGTTAATCACAATGTAACTGCCATTTGGCCGACGTTAGTGCTCGTACAACTTGACGTTTTACTATACATTATTGCCCTATCTGCATGAAAACATTATTTCACCTACCTGAAAGCATGAACGCTTTATTTTTATAAAAATCAATAGACAATAAATGATAATGGAAAATTTGAAATAAATAACAAAATTTAACTCTTTTTTGTTGTATGTACGAGTTGAATATTGCGACAGTTTCCAGAGTACCTACGCCTGGTATACAATCGATCAGTATGTCACCGGTTACATACCTAAAAATCAATAAACGCAAATAGTCTTTTGCAGATAATTATGTCAAATTCACAGTTATGCAAAATAAAGTATTTTTCATTTCAATACGGGTATACCCGTACATACAATTATCCCTTTGTGCACAGTACTTGGTACAAACTCGCACGTAATGTTTCATAGAAGTTGCTGCTTAATACTTATAATTATATGCTGTTTTTAGAAACGTATTAAGTGTGATTTCACGAAAGGACCACATTCGCACAATCCTGTTTTTCGAAATTATTTGTACTTGTAACTTTGTATAAACACCTAATTATACTTACAATTAACGCGTATAACGCCCAACGCTTATAATTATGTGAATCTGGAATCGGCTTCGACAGAGTTTTCTTTGGCTCGGATTGATTATACATGTACATCGATAGAATGAACCAGTATTTTCTAGGACGGGCCTACATACTGTATATCGCTAGCAATACTTTACAGACAGCGGTCGCCAAAAATGAACATCAACGGTAATCCAGAGCGCCGTGTAGGACCTGCAATCGGCTTAGCTAATACGTGGCGCCTTAGCTAATACGTGGTGCCGTTTCCGATCGGACATGGCTCATTGGCAATCTGCTGCCAGTACTGGTACATTGCAGCAAGGTCATAGCTGCAGGCGGACCATTGTGCGTCTAGTCCTAATTCATTATATCCATATTGGCTGCCTTGTAAGAATCCCGGACCATCCATCCTTCTACTCACAGAAAATAATATCCAAGAAAACGTTTGACCAAAACGAGTGTAAATTATTGTCATAAACATGAAAATTACGTACCCATGATATGCGACTTGTTGAAGCATGCTCCGAATTCTGACTGTTAAACGGGGATCATACGTTTGGTTGGGTAAAAGCAACCACGGACCGAAAATGTAAGGCAACTCCATCGCATGAAAGGCGTCTAAAAATTGACGATACTCGTAAATATCACTAGCAATTTAGCCAATAAGACGTAAATAGTAGTCGTTTTCATAATGTCAGTGTACTGGACGTACGGAAGCCATTATAATGCGAATCGTATATTATTTTGATCAGCTGTACAGAAGGCCATGATGACACACTATGGCTGGCGTAGATTGACGCTTCCTTCACCGCCGGAAACGCTTGTAAGGCTTCCGTACCAAGCTGCAGCACAGAAATTAATTTTCACAACGCTTCGTGAAAACGAGCACTTCAAATCGTTATTGCAGCTGAACATACATGGTATAATTTTAATAACGTATCATCGCGACTGTCCGTTGCCGATAGATTGTAGTGCTGCATGACGCGATCAGCTAATGCATAATCCGGAACCGTGCACAGAGGCTTCCCGTCTCGTGGCAGAAGGTTTTTGGCGACAATGGTACGGACGCCATCAATGGTCAGCGGTTTGGTGGGATCAAGAAGATCCGGAATTGCCACTACAGTATTAAAAACATTTCTCGTATTTTTGTTGGCGTATTCCGTTCGATTACTTTTCTTATTAATGCAGTATACTCCTACTCACATGTCAAGATTAGAGCAGCGTCTTCGCGAAGATAGCTCGTGACGATATTTGGACTGGTATATCCGCCGTCCAGGGTTTGCTGCAGCGCGCGCAGCGGTACGTCTTTAAGGTGATCGTGATCGATCACCAAGCCAAATGATGCAGTGATCTAATTGGTACAACATATCTTGAAGTTATATTACGTATATAAACAGATTTGCCAGCCTTACCGGGCTGGCAGGTACTACCAAAGCGGCTTTTTGGAGCTCCTCATAAGGCAAGGCTTTCAAGCAGCCGGCCAGGGCATCGGTAGTGTTAACCGGGCATCCAGCCGCCGCAGCAACTTGATTTGCTGCGGATAACGGATTCCGGACGTAGTCGAGATCCACTAGCACGCTGCCGCTAAACATAATGGCTGACCACACTATATCTAAATGAAAATCACCTAGTTTTACTGACGTTATCCAGTTATTATAATTGTGAAGTGTAAGTGTTCAGGTTTTTTTGAACGTTTGGATGTTTTTCGAAACTTTTTGTGACGTGTCTGCTGCCTCGTTTTAGCCTTCAATGCAGATTGCGTGCGGACGTTACGGTAATTATACATTAGTTGTTCTACAAATAAGTACCAGCACCTTTTACGTTAGTGAAGGTACGACGAAATTTACTGATACTGTAGGCTAACGGTAAAGAATTCTTATTAAAGTTTTGTCAAAGATGGTCGCATAACTCGCAATAACCGTACCGCGAATAACAGGATCCAGCAGCGCAGCCGACACCAGAGTCGCTCCTGCACTCTGACCGAACAGCGTTATACCGGTTGCCTTTCCCCCGAATTTTTCAATGTACTTGTGGACAAATTTGATCGCCGTCTTGCAGTCTCCAAGTCCAAAATTTCCCTTGGTTGAATCGTCTCCCGTACTTAAAAAGCCTAGCAATTGCGTCAATAAATAAAATAAATGAACTAATTTTATTTATGAAGATGACGAAGCGCCATCTTCATGAGCTGATGCCGTCAGTACGTAGAAATTAAAGAGATACACAACAAGCAATAAATATATATCAAACCACAATGACGTTCCGCAATCTTACCGAATGCTGTCAACCGGTAATTTATCGTGACGACAATTGATCCCACACTATCGGCCAATGAGCTTGAATTGTAGCTGTCCTTAGTGCCAGCTATAAGTTACACGAAGAAATGTTGGCTAAGCCCGTCAGAACGCTAAAGCAAATTGCGACCTTGAAAGCCTCCGCCATGGATCCACACCATCGACGTCCAAGCGTCCGTATTGTTGGGCAGGCGTGGAGGTACATATACATCCAGATACAGACAGTCTTCGTCAATAATTTTACCGGTTACAGGCGGCAAACCATTTAGAAATCCTTGCGGGCAGACATTTCCTTGTTTGGATCGAGAGCTATTACTAATATACGAGAAATCCGTATTCTCCGCCGATGCCTGCATGCAGGATCGTTATTATGATTGCAGCTAATATTGTTCTTGGCGATATGAAATTGGGTGGTCTATGAACTTTACATGGTGACATCATGGCATATAAATTTCGGCAAAAACTTTTCGACGGTGCATGACTGCATGGTGAATTTCTGCCAGGCACACCGCAGAAATCAAAAATAAATTGTACCTCAAAGCGTTTGCTGACTCCATAGCGGATTCCGTAATAGGCGTAGCCATAGCTGCCCGGATATTTTTCTGAAGCGAAAGCCTCACCAATCAGCTGGACGTCCTCCCGCAGATTGACCACACCGCTGTCACCCGCGCTCGTCTCTGTAGTGAACAATATAATTACGAGGGGAACAACCATCCCAATCAAAGGACGAGGATTCGACGACATTCTTTGTTTTTAGCACAACGCGAGAGTTGGCGAGACTTATTCCCCGAAACAAACGAAACATTTCTGGCAAGAACTGTCGAGAACAACATACCTTAAAAACAGCCAAATGGTCAGTTGAGGCAGCAGCCCGCTTCGCTTCGCTTCGAAAGCGGATTTCGTGTACGAGTGCAATACCTGCAATTAATAATAAGTCGTTGTGTTTGGATTCAGTTCAGTAAAAACTCATCAAACAGGCATTTCTGTCGAAGCTGTTGCCACCAATCGAGTTTTATGCCATCACCCGAATGCATACTTCTAGTGTAATTTACGGTAAGACACATCGAACTTTATGGTAGTCCTATATTATGGTAGATACAAGAATATTTAGGGCAAAGAGTTCAATTTTTTAATGTCGAAAGTCAGCCAGCTGAAACGGGAAATACCGTTCGAGCAGGTGAAAACCTCTCGTATTCGATTATAAAACTACTGACAGGAACGAAAACCACTTTTCATAAAGCATTGCGGTCAGTTCATAGCTGTTGTTTTCTGTTATGGTGTTACGGAATTAGTACTCCGCTCAGTGTTGACATCGAGAACCATTTTTAGCGAAACAAGCGGAGTGGCATGATCCCCCTAATTCCCTCGATTCCAATCCCGATCAATATAATATCGTATGACAATGACAAGCCCTTCGTTCCCAAAATTAAACTTCGCCAAAAGGTGTAATTGCAAAAGCAAAAAATTTTAAAGCGAAGCTTACGTACAACGAAGCGGCGCTTTGTATAGCGGGCGTAAGTGCGTGTGACAGGTACGTGCATATTAAATTTTGTAGTTGAATATTCTTAATGAACCGAACACTTTTGCTATACACAATAAAATTCTTCTTTAGGGCGGGGGAGCATTTTTCCGCCATGGAAAACCAAATTGGAACGCCGGGCGGGCGGTTTCACCAAAAAACTTGATACAACAGTTTATAGGAGTGGCTTTGAAGGATGTTTAAGGTCACCAGTCTCTTTGACTGGTATGTCCTTTTCCGATAATGTATTCGTACAAGTGTCGGATTCGTTGCGGGACTGCGGAATGTAATGGGCAAGTCACATGCTAATATGCTGTAACAAGTTTAATCAAACTTCGGATACCGAACTCGGAAAGAACATACGACAAGTAGCCGACGAGCTACACGTGCCACGGAAGCGAATCGGCATCGAATCCAACGGATATCCTATGTTTTATCGTTATAGTTTATCTCTATGTACAAGCCAGTTTCACAAACCGGTTACCAATATAACCTTGAAATCCAAAAGTGATAACTCGAGCGCAGTATGATTACTGCAAATACATTTTATTTGAATAAATACTGTCTATTTATTGCACGAAATAACAGCACAATTGCTACTGGAGCTATTTTTTTACTTTTATCACCCGCGTTCTAATTACAAGGGTGGGAACTGGCCAAAACGGACCAATACTATTGGTCAAAATTGATTTAAGATTACCTAATAATAAAATTAGTTTTAATACGGAATTGCTCCAGTAGCCCTCCATGGATCGAATCGCGACACTGAGCCAGAGACACGTGTGCGGCTGCTGGTTCTCAGCGTAGCTAACTAATAGGCGTACATAGCGTGGCTTCCGCATGGACATGGCTCATTGGCAATCTGCTGCCAGTACTGGTACACGGCTTCCAGGTCACTGGTGCCAGGCGACCATTGTGCGTCCAGTCCTACTTCGTTGTACCCATAGTGGTTGTCTTGTAAAAATTGCGGACCAATCATACTTCTACCGGTAGAAAGTAAGGACCATGGAAAAGTTTCACAACCTGACTGATAGATAATAATAAACAAAGAAATTACCCGCCATTGTGTGTAACTTGATGAAGCATGTCCCGATAGCTGACGGTCAGACGGGGATCGTAAGTTTGGTTAGGTAACAGCAGCCACGGACCAAAAATGTAAGGCAGCTCCATCGCATGAAAGGCATCTGAAAATGAAAAATGAAATGAAACCAACGTTGTCAGTTTAGTAGTGGATAGTAAATTTCTTATTACATACTACATACGCCTTAGTGCCTTACGTACTACTGTACGTACTACTGTACACACTGTTTACTACATACTACTGTAGTATGTAGTAAACAGTGTGTACAGTAGTATGTACCACATAATAAAATACCACATACGCAGGCCATTATAATGCGAATCGTATATCGTCCTAATCAGTTGTACTGAAGGTAATGATGGCATTGGCTTGATGTGATTGGCATATATTGACGCTTCCTTGAAAGCTGGAAATGCTTGTACGGATTCTGTACCCAGCTACAACAAAGCCGTTGCACGAAATTCTGTCATAATTCAAACAATTGTCAAAGACGGCGCAGCGTACATGGTATAATTTGAGCAATGTGTCACCGCGGCTTTCTGTGGCCGACAAATTGTAGTGCTGCATAACGCGGTCAGCTAATCCATAGTCCGGAACCGCACACTGAGGATTCCCGTCTCTTGGCAGAAGATTTTTAGCGACAATGTTACGGACGACATCCATGGTTAGTGGTTTGGTGGGGTCAAGGAGATCCGGAATTGCCACTATTGGAAGCGTTTGGCACTTTTGTCGTTAATTCAACTATCAGTTAATAATGTTTCATGAATGGAGTAAACCACAACCCACATGTGAGAGTTAGTGCAGCATCTTCGCGGAGATAGCTCGTGACGATATTTGGACCGGTGTATCCGCTGTCTAGGGTCTGCTGCAGCGCACGCACCGGTATGTCTTTAAGATGGTCGTGGTCAACCACGAAGCCATCAGCCGCAGCCAGCTAAAAACCGCAAGCGCAAGGTAAACGTACTGAACAGAACAAATAATTATATGAAGTGAAGAATCGCTATCCTTACTGGGCTGGCTGGTACCACAAGTGCCGCCTTTTGGAGCTGCTCTTAGGGCAGCGCTTTCAAACAGTTGGCCAAGGCAGCCGTTGTATTATCAGGACATCCCGCAGCCACAGCAACCTTTCTCGCCCCAGATAACGGATCCCGGACGTAGTCGAGATCCACTAAAACGCTGCCGCTAAACATAACGGCTGACGCCACAATTTCTGTACAAAAGCCACTCAGTTATTATACAAATAAAATAAGTATCTGCAGTCCCGTTTTGGTTCAGTAAAATTATGAAAAAATTTAGGCGGCATAAAGTGACTAGATTGGAACAGCCGTACCGCGAACAGCAGGATCTAAGATCACGGCAGACACCAAAGCCGCTCCACCACTCTGACCAAACAGCGTTATACCGAATGGCTTTCCTCTGAATGCTTCAATGTATTTGTGAACAAACTTGATCGCTGTTTTACAGTCTCCAATTCCAAAATTTCCTTTTATGGAATCGTCTCCCGTACTCAAAAAGCCTATCAGTAGCATAATATTTACGATACTGCATTACAGACATCGACTGTACCCACGTAGGCGTTCCGCAAACTTACCGAATGCTGTTAGCCGGTAATTTATGGTGACAACAATTGCTCCCACACTGTCGGCTAGTGAGCTGGAATTGTAGCTGTCTTTAGTGCCAGCTTACAGAACAAGGAAAGGTTACACAAGCAAGCTTAATATACAGAATTAAGTCGTTACCTTGAAATCCTCCGCCATGAATCCATAACATTGTTACCCAGTCATCTGTGTTATTGGACAGACGTGGAGGGACATATATGTCTAGATACAAGCAATCCTCGTGGAATACTTTATCGGTAACAGGTGGCAAACCAGGTAGAAATCCTTGTGGACAAACATTCCCTTGTTTGGGGCTTGACGTGTTCTTCAAATACAGGAATTCCGTATTCTCCATTGAGGCCTACAGATTTGATACAAAATGCGTTGTAAATCAACGGTTGAAAATAAGCTAACAGATCAGTGCTTCTAAGTTATCGGTTATGCATAGTATGTGATCGATAAGAAAGGGATTTAATAACAAGCACATTTAACTCGATCTCTCCCGTAAGTTAATTACCTCAAAACCTGTAAACCCTTATTATCCGTAAATTTTACCTCAAAACGTTTGCTGACTCCATAACGAATCCCGTAATACGCGTAGCCGTAATTGCCCGGATATTTTTCTGAAGCGAATGGTTCACCAATCAGCTGTACATCGTCGCGCAGGTTGACCACACCAGTGTCTCCTGAGGTTGCATCTTTAGCAAGTAATATTGTTGAAATAGCAGCGGCCACCCAAAACAAAGGATGATGATTTGACGGCATTCTTGATTTCCAGTATAAAACGAGATTCTGACTTTCCGTAAGACCGTAACTACGAGCTGCCAGTTTCTTGCAATAGCAGTGGAGAACTTCCTTTACAGGTAGGCAAAAATCGAGTTTTGAGGCTACATGCTGAAATCGATCCATAAGTCCATTCTTGGTACAATTAGCCATAAACCGCTATGTTTTCAGTGCATTCAATTCAGTACAACCCCATCAAACTGGCAATAATATGCCGACGCTGTTGTCACCGATCGCATTTTATGGCGTCATCTCGCCGCAGTGTGTTAGGTATTTGCAGCACAGCACATCGAACTTTATGCTAATGCTATAGTTTGCATAAAAATGGAGGTCCTACTGTATTGTATAGTATTATGCAGACTGCAGAGCAAAACGGTCATACTGCAATGTTGAATGTCAGCGAGCTATAACGGGAAATACCGTTTATTACCGCGACAATCAAATGCCGGTATAAAAGTTTTGCTACGCTTTTAGACAAAACGATAGGCAATGAAACGCACTATGTAGTAAAAACTAAAAATTACTTTATAAATTTCGTAATCTCTTTGTAATGTCCAATTCCACTTAAAATCATTCGAACGGTGGGAGTGGAGAAGTTTTTTTGGCAGACCAGCTGACCAAGTAAATCGCTATGTTACGGGTTACCTACTCTGTACTCTGCCCTCACCTTACTTTTACTTGCTAGCATTTTTCCTTAAGAAAGGAGTTGTAAAATGAATCGATATTACTGTATAAAAAGAAGTTGAGGGAAGAGTAGGTAACAGAGCGATCTAGATTTCAAGGCAAAAAGCTTTTAAGATTTCACGACTGTAAGGATGTAAGGTTTCAAAGCAAAAGCTAAATTAATGATACTACATTACTACCGTCCATTCGAAACGCCTGGTCGTTAAAAGCGAAACCATGAGGCATGGTTAATTAACAGGCCGTTTTATTTATGGCGGTTGGAACTTTGCATCGTTTGAAGACATACAACTATAGAGATACAGAATCCATTAAATTTAGTGTCAAAATTAGTTTCGCTGATTAAATTTTCGAAACGGCGACACCGGTTTTCAGTGTGGCCTCCAGTTAATAAAGTCCGCTGTACTTTATTTGTGATAACATTGCACAAATATGCTCCTTGCTCACTGTGTCCATGACGGCTCGATGGATCGCCATGCTAATTTATACATAATTAGAATTTTCTGCACTAAATACAATTTTCGATTGACCGGCGTTTTGCACCAAGATATCTGAGTCAACGACAAAACAACAATATACACATGTGTGTACGGGTGTGTGGTTGCCGCCATAATTATAATATTTACGCAGCAACTATGATTTTTGTTTTTTGTTCGACCGGCAGGAGAACCTACAAAACAATAATTTCGATCTATCGGTCAAAGGATTTCGTAAACAGTTTAAAAAATTAGCAAACACTTTTTATAGAACTGTTTGTTTGTACTAGCTTCACCACCTTAATATCATACGCAGTCTCTTTCGTTATTTTTTTTTTGAAACAAACAAACAGTTGTTTATAACTTTATACAGATAGTAACGAAGAGATTCTTTAAGAAGTGTTACTATTTCATCAGCGATTTTCGTTGTAGACATTCATCCTTTACTGCACATTTGACATATCTATATGTGTTGTATAGACTTATAGGCAACAGGCATCAAGAGACAACAGAACGAAACGAATACACAATAAACCAATGTCAATTAGCAGCATTAAGCACGTATGTTGTGTAAATTGCCCAACATCGAACAAAATATCTGTACGTGATCATGAAAACTGACAATGGCAGCATGTAACAAATTGACACAGAAACACCGCGGTTTAATAAGAACATGAGAAAATAAAGTTGTTAATTGTCAGCTCAAGTGTAAAAGTGGCTCATGTATATATTGTGTTTGACACACAACATGCTGAGCAACACCTCAACGCCGGATCGTACATCGATAAACAGCGGAAGCGAAAATCGTGAGTGGCATCTTGCCGCGCCGATCACCGATCAACAACACATACACACACATATTTAGCCGGCATGTTTTCCATGCGGAGCAAAAAATCGAGAGTTATTCAAGTATGTCCGGTTATCGATTAATTCTATTATCAGAGGCAAAGAAATGCTCATTAAAATGGCCAGGAGAATGGGTCAGTCTGTCAAGAGTCAAGAAGAGAGAGCAGAGCAAAAAAGAGAAACATGCCGGCAAATTAATACCTGCAGTAGTGATGTATGTATTAGTAGCCAGTTGATGCGGTTTATTAGTGCGTGATGCCGGCTGCGACGACAATAGCCTGGGCAGCCGTAAAAATGCTGTTAAAACACATAACTAGGTTATACACAATATGCCGTATAAACGCGCTGTACAACATCCACCCGGCATTATACTGATAGGAAAATATTATATTGAGCAATGCGGCCACAACCACATTGCTGTGTGCTGATGGCCAATGACAAAAAACACCAGCAGTCGGGGCCGTCCTTGGTCTGACAGCGTTATTAGCGTCCGGTGTGTATGTATGCGTCATACCATCGTGGTGAAAATGGCCGGCGGGTAATTGACGGCGGGACGGCGTTGATAAATGGTCGCGGCGTAGAGGAACCTGCCAGAATCAGCTTGTCCGAGAACAAATCAGTTTTCGCGTGATCTCTATTTGTTGTATACCCTGGTAATCTGCGACGGAGTGTTGCTGTTGTGTGCTGGATCACAGTGATGGAACGCTGCGTGGGGCTATTGTTGCTGGGGTGGATGGTGGGCGCCGGGATGGCGGCCGTGCTCAGCTTCCCGCCGCAGAACGCCGACCAGGTCAATGATGTCAAGTTGGCGATGAACCGTGATACGCGCTATGATAAGTGGATGGATCCCGCGCATGTGCTCTATCGTTTCGACGAGAAGGCCTACTGTAAGTGCGAGGGAGACAAGAGTTTCCCGCGTTTTCTCTGTGTGAACGGCGGTAACAAAAAATCAGTTTGATTTCCAGTGTTGTTAGAAAACTACTCGTAGAAGCTTGATTTAAACCCGATGCATAAAAATACCTTTAACAGAGATCACGCTCTGCATAAAATCATGGAGTAGAATAAAATAAATGCAAATAACCTTTTTTAAAATAAGCTTGGTCTAAGGAGTATATAACCTTTCCAGTAAGGCTTATAATTTATTTATTTTTTTTTTGTTAACTTTGTATTTAAAACTGCCGGAAACCGTAATGAAATTTAAGCAACTGCGCAAATTGAAAAATACGATTTTTCGGAACTTTGATTGTAAATACTGTAGCAAGAGCTTTCTTTACATGTGTTCAGTAACATGAAATTAAATTTTTATAAATAATTTCGATTAATGTCATATTTCTTCAACTTGTAGGCAATGGTGGTTACCAATACGATCAAGGTGTCGGATTAATATTTCATTTATTGAATGATGGCTTGTCTGTCAACTAACAAGGTCCCGGCTGTGTAATGTTTATTCCGCCGTATTGTTTTACATGTTTACTTAGCGCGCTGATGTGATTAGCACACAACATGAAAACCTTGTACACGGATATACAATTCCCTGTAACATATCGGAGTTATTATATTTATTTAATATTGCAGTAGCTGGCTACAGGACCGAAGAACAACGAACAGATTACTATATAGTACTAGTATAGACATTTCCAGTATCTGGCAATCAATTACAATTTCACATTACGACGGAACCGATATAAAACAGTCTTTTAACAAAATTTGCAATTATATATCCGTTTCTTATGTACAGCGATTGATAACCTTTATAAATATTATCACGCAACGAAAATAAAGCAAACGGTAAATTCTGGTGCTGAAACTGCCAAATTTTTCAGCACACATCAACTTTTGTCATAATGTACCATGAACTAAACATTAAAAGCACATTTTGTTTTCTGCAGCATCGGAAGAGAAGTCGTTAATTCTGAAAGCCATGGAGCGAATAAGCAACGACATGAGCCAGTGTATCGCTTTCAAGGAGTACAACGCGGACAGCGACGCCGGTCTGGACAACATCTACATCTCCAAGACCTTGAACGACGGGTAAACACACGAACACTGACTCACGCCAATGTAACCAATAATAACGATATTTTCATAGCCATGAGATTCTTGTGTCCCGTTTAATGGGCGTCCATTCAGCCATTCAGAGCGGGCATAGGTGTAACAGCATTCCAATAAAACACAGACAGTAGCAGCGCTTCCGTACATTGCCGCGTCATAAACGCCGCTATCAATTTTTAAAACTGTTGATCAGTATGCTAAATATGCCGGTATGATGGAATAAAAACACGCTGCCGGCATTTGCCGATATATTGCAGATCAGTGCCGCCGACATGCTTCAGCTTCTACGGGCGCGTGCTCCGCGCCGCTGGTCAAGGCCAGAAGATGGCCATTCATAATGGGCCCAACGGCTGCATGGAGGCGCAGCGTGACGTTATGAAGATCCTCGTCAATGTTCTCGGTCTGCGCAACGAATACAATCGGCCCGATCGCGATCTCCATATTAAAGTCTTTCCTGAGAATCTGCAACCCGGTAAGAAAAACCAAGAATTTCAGTAAAAGTCGAACATTATATTTTTCGCATAATCAAAGTTGACCTCACTATTCGGATGCTTTATAGCAGACCAATAGTCATTACTCCGCTAAATTTAAACGACTGCATTATATACAGCCCTGCTCAGCCAAGTTGGGGCAGTTTTGTTAAATAATTATAAAATAATTGTATACATTGTTTCGTTTTTGAATTTGCAGTTATCTAGTGTAACTTTTTACGGCGAATCTAGGAGTTTTAAAACCGGTACCCCTTGGTGTGCCAGTAGGGAGCCGAGCACTGGTTAAGGGGATGGTGTGGTGGTCATTTTTAGGATGCTTATAACGGCCCCTCTGAAGAATACACCGACAGATATTTTTACGTGAGCTTTTCTGGAAAGTCCTAAGCGAACCGAAGCCTGTCCGTTATGGGTTCGCAAAAAAATCTAGCGCGATCAGTGCTCGGGCTGACCGTGAAACAATGTGCACTTCCATAGGATTGTATGCTAAGACCTACCTGCCGAAGAATGCGGTTGCCTAGCGCACAGACCAAAGTAACTTCAATTTGATATTTGCCATGAATAAAGCATGGACCACCTGAAACGATTTTGAGGTTTGAACAGACATAAACTGTCCAGGCGGAGAAATGCAGTGGCCGGATGAACAGAATAAAAAATCAGCAAAGCGGCTGCAAAAAATACGTATGCTTTCTCTTACAGTGTCTCGAAATGGAGTGTTTCAGGCATATTGTACAAGTGAAAGACTTTTTATTGACGCTCAAGGCTTCGCAAATACGATTTCGTCGAAAATAATTACCCGTCGCATCCCGTGGCTGCACCGGAAGCGTGCGAGGAGGTCACCCCCATTCAAAGGTGCTTGCAGTCACTCTGCAAAGGTCACCCAGGCTTAGCCGAAATCGGCTGATGTATGGTATCGTTCGCAAGAGCATTGAACGACCAACACCTCAGAGGTAGTGCTTTTGAACAATGACGTCATCAGAATTTTTAAGCAAATTTCAAACAGGACTACTGCTACCACGCTGAGTGGGTCAAGCCGCTTTTTCCTCTGGTCTACCCTAATTTTGACCTCACGGTTATTCGGAAAGCGGTCTCAGCGTAGAATCTCCAAGTGATAAAGATGTCGGACACACACGGCAACTAAGAAAAAATTAAATGAGGAAGTATTCTGTGACGGCTGACCTGTGCTAATTTTTTGAAAAAACTGCCCCAACTTGGCTGAGCAGGGCTGTAATGCAAATAAATTAAAAACAAATTGAATTTTAATTCCAAAAGAAAACTACTTGTTGCGTGTTTTCAAAAAAGCATCGGCAGGGTTTGTAATCCTAATGGAGACGATTCAGTTTTATGTTGATTCTTGTACAAATGCAAATTAAATGAAGATTTGGTGGCCCCTGCCACAATGGTATCGTACTACGTTTCGTTTACGATTTTTTGTTGTGTTAAAATAATTTTGTAATAACTTACTAACTTACCGTAATTATCGAATTTGCACCCCTGGGGTGCAAAAGTTCAAACGTCCTGGATGAGGGGGCTTATTTCGGGGAGGGGGCGTTATTTCGGGGGGTGGTATTATTTTTCAAACAGTATTTTTGGGAGGGGCCGTTATTTTTCAAACAACTCTGCATCCTGTTTTATTGAAACTCGACGCAGTAGATACCAGTGTTTGCAGTTTCAGAACCTTGCGAGCAGCATTCTGAAACATAGCACCAAATTATTTTTGTGACCATTTACTGTTTATTTATTAAATCACAACTATTATTATGAAGCAATTGGCGGTTTATTTATCATTTTGTGGCGCTTGACATTTAATAACGCCCCCCTGGGGGGTAAAATCGGGGGGAGGCGCTATTTTCCAAACGGGCTATGGGAGGGGGGCTTATTACGGAGGGGGGCCTTATTATGGGGGGAGGTTCAAATTCGATAATTACGGTATTTTTGAAACTTAGTAAGTTATGTGTTAGGGTATACAGACTCTTACAGAGTCAGTAAAGCGCACTATAATTATAAGGCACTTCAATACTTGATGCCGCTAATGCCGGCATAATGCCTAAATGCATAATGCCGGCACCTGGACGTACGTTGCCTTACTTTTCGCCAAACTTACGCAAGCATAAATCAGTTACAAGTCATGTTCTGTAGTAATCAACGTCAGATTTACCTGGACAAAACAATAATGTTTTACTAATTGTGAGCCTCATTGGATGGCTTATCAAAAACCAAGTATGTTTTGCATTTATGAGCCCCGTAAGATGTAGAGTATCGACAAATAACCATTGAGCCGGCGATTTTGAACGAATGATCTGCCGCCCAGTACAGTGAAAAAATGAGGCAATGAAAGCAGGTTACGATAATACTGGTAAATTATTTGAAGAAAAGCATAAAGACATAAACATTTACGCTAATCACCACGGGGGCGGTCTATAATCACCGCTCAATAAACTGTCTTAACCATGGAACGGCGATTAATGAGCACGTGGGAAGCGGAGATTAGCGTTTCTGATCAAGCCAATCGTAAATATTTGACTACTTTTGTATTTCTTATTATTAAAATTTGTTATTTCTTTCGCAGAACTGCGTAATTCAAACCTCCTAACGGCCTACAATGCCTCGCAAGTGGACACGGTGGACCGACCGTTTGATTATCATTCAGTGACCATTCCAAATTTCAATAAATACGGCATCGTTAACAGCACAGTTTTTGAGCTGCCTGCGAATACGACCTTTCCCCAATTGGACCGGCTCAGTCTGGATGACTGTATGGGATTGGCCTGGATGTACGGATGTGATGCCAAGAAATGCGTTGATCGTAAGGGCCAACTTACTGTAGCTTTAATCACCGTCAGAAATACAATTCATTTCTCTGTTATCTCTTTAAATACGGCAATTTTAGAAGTTGATGTTTACTACCGGTGCTCGTGCAGGTTTTTTAAAAAAACTGTTACAAAAACGATCCCTGCTACAAGAAAAATTTAAAGATAATTATGATGTTCTTAATAATATTATTGACAATCCCGTAAACGCTGATTTACAACGTATATTTGTATATTTGTTATTTATGTGTTTTACAACGTATATTCGTGAACACGTATATTTGTTGGTGCAGACAGCTAAGACAGGTTATTAGCTTTACGGTTAGGAATAATTCTTCAGACTTTTAAATACTTGCGGTAATTAAGGCAATAGAAGTACAATAATTGCTTATACACCGTAGAGTAAGTATACACATCTTCATAGTCTTGTAACGTGTTTTTTTGCAGCATACAACGCGCCGCCTCCATCACTGAAGACTATAGAAGTAAATATCATTCCCACCGACAACAAAATCCTCATTGAACTGCAGCCAAACGCCACCGAAGTCCCGGCCACTTCCGCCGCCACCGAAATCATTACCACGGTCATTGCCACCGAAGCCACAACACACGCGGCCGAGACCACCGTAGCGATACTTAACGAAACAACAGCCTTGGCAACGGAAGCCACCACTACCATTGCAGCCATTACTGAAAACATCACCGCCTCCGTGGCACTGGTAACAACAGAAGCGGCAACCGTACAATCGGTCAACGAAACCAGCGCGACGCTTTTGTTAACCCTCGCTACGGTGGCGCCCCTGAACGTGACCTTAGCCGATGTCATCATCCCGCGCAAGGGTGGACTGGAAGAACTGAATGTCACCGAGGGGCCGATGGTCATCCAGACGGTAGCAACCGCGGCACCAAACGAAGCAACTACCCAGCATGTCGAAGAGACGACGAGCTCTATCCAACTGAAATTGGTGTTTGTTGTCAACCAGACGGATAATGCCACCCTCAGCAATGTGTCACAAGTCGCCGCTGTTGAAAATATCACAACCGTTGCGCCCACGGTGGCCGCCCAAACGACAGCGAGCGAAGCGACGACCGTCATTGCGACAACCGTCACGGAGATCGTCACAACCACTCACTCCGTGGAAAACTCAACGCTAGCCGCTATCGTCAGTATCGACGGGATCATTGTTGGCCAACCAGTAGTGCAGGATAGCATGCAGCCCAAGGATGGTCTTAATGCGACGACATCCGCGCCCGCTGTGCTGGATCACAGCGTGAGCGAAGCAAGCATGCTCAACGCCACAACGGCGGTCAACATCACAATGGCGGATAACAAGAGCATGACGGATATGGATATGATGTTGATAGGTGAACGCAGTCTCTAATGACCATGTTGAGCCGATGGGGTTGAAAACAACCATCATCTGGTATGATGGAAGTTTTCGGATGAAATGTGTATTTTTTACTTTGTTTCTCTTCGGTTTTATGTTACTCTTATGGATAGCTCACTCCACTAATCAATAAATAAGTGCCGGACATGCGAGTGCTCGTCGCTACTAGAGTTTAGCTTAAAGTAAATGCAAACCATTGCACCCAACCCTGCCAAGTGACTAAGTTCTTAGTTCTTACGCTTACGTTTATCCATCATGTCCCCTTTTACTTTTTAAGGCAGGGCGCACAACAAACTATAAATTTTAATGTTTTCTACTTGGCGCAACGGTTTTATAACACATGTAAACATTCAACACCAGATGTACCATTGTGTTTCCACTGACTTGGCAGAATTTTATGTAGCTAGCCGGTGCATTTACAGATATATTTTGTATTTCGTATATTTCGATTCTGATTAAGAACAAAAGTGTATGTGAGCAGGGAGCCTATTAAAAAGTTATCAGTTTACATAAGAAATGTTACAGTCTACGACACGCTCCTATCTACGTAATACGTAAATACTTGCGTATTTACCAGGTTTATATCACCATATACACATAGAGCCAGGTTTCACTGTGCGGGTTCGCCCACGCTTCACTGATGTGAATTCCATTAATTTTCTCCTTTAGGTTATCAAGGTGATTTTAATAATGAGGATAGGTTACTGCCACAAATTTATTGTGCACCGAATATGAGTAGGTTGCTGGCAAATAACGATGCCCTTTTCGTGTATCCGTAAAGACCAGTGGATTACGCTACATGAGAAAATTAAAGTGGCGAACGCTAATGGCACTATTAATTCTCACTACAAAACACTAAAGCCATTACACTCTGCAGTACCGAAAAAGACTATTACATAAGGGTCATTTGAATGCTATTGTGTTACTCTGCACAATGTAACCGAGATCGGCGAGCTGTCACTCGCCTCGTCGGGAAATAAAATTCTTTCGCCGCGGATGATCTGTTGCCCAGATACCCGGTGCATATGTACCGTATCTGTGCAGACGCCAACGGCGTCTGCGCTTTCCAGTCCACGTCAGCACCATCCATATGCCACCTTCACCATCCAGGAATAATACATCTGGGCAAAGCTTTAAGTTGGGTCGTATATATTTTTGGTGGAACCTTCTGTTGATGATGAGTGGCGAAGGCTGATGCGAGGCGGATACAGGGATACAGAACAATGCAAAAGGCCAATACGAACTATTCTCTCCACAACGAGATAGTATTACTTAGCAACTGCTACGCCTCTTATCGCGAATCCACCAACGGTGCGCCGCAGCAGGCGTTCATCCTGCGCGGATAGTGCGACAGTTGACCAGAATCCGTTGTCGGTGGTGTCGTACATTTCTATTGAATATTCATCCGCATTGCCATTATTTTTGCCGCCGCAGACGTATATCCTTTCGTTAACAACGCAGGCTGAATGGCTATGGCGCGGTCGCTGCAGGGTCTGAATGTCCTCCCACATGGACGTTTCGATGTTCAAACGAATGCAGGAAGGCATTACAGCCGATTCGAATACCGATGTCACGCAGCCGGAAAGAATGTAGATGTACCCTCTCACGACAGCCATACCAAACATTTCCCGACGCTGTGGAAGGGGTTGTAAGGATGTCCATTGGTCCGCCATCGGATCATAGAGATCTAACTCCACTAACTCCCTATCCCGACTGTTGTGAGCATATAATATCTTTCCGTCCAACTCAGCCACTGCTTCCACGCTAAACCTGCAATTCAAGCGATGTTTCACTTTATGAAGTCGCAGTACTTTGTATGATGAGAATTCCGTTTGACCATACGTACGAGGAGGATTGGTGTTGAGTTAGGGCAACCATCGACGGTTGGCGGCTAAATTAACCTCTAGTAGTCTAGGTGTTCAGATAAACTCAAGACTAAAAATTCGCTACCTACTTAACACTAATCCTCCTCGTATAAATGTTAACTGCAAAAAACGGAGCTTCGAACTGAAATTAGCTGAATAAATAGCGCGAAACTGCGAATGCCACGGAATAACTTGCTGTTCTCCTCACCCTTTAATCGGGCTTGATCTCTCCAAAATAATGCTGCTGCTGTGTATATCTTCTGCCACAAAGAAATGACAGTCGTCATACTGATTACAGCGCATATAGTAAATCGTGTCGTTAACCACAACCGGACAGAACCAGCGCGAAGACCCTGGCCATGGGACCTCGTTCAGCGAGAAATCGCTCATGGTTCCATCAGATATGTTCCACAAGCAAAGGTCATGTTCGCTCATGCCCATGCCATCCAACTCGTCTTTAAATATGATTCCACTGTTCGGTAACGTCAACTGGGGGAAAACAAATAAGAGGTTCTTTGGTAGGGGCGTCTCAAGAACTCGAATTTGGTTTGTCACTGGATCAAATACCACCGCTTTAACGCCATCCCCGATGACACCATTACTGCACTGTATTATGACAATGTCAGCATCGGCAGTTTGGATAGGTATGCTCTTTTCTGATTTATTAACGTCTCCAACTGAGAAGGTGTGCAACAGTCCTTCGGCCGATATCCGTTCTCTGGGGTTATGCTGTAAGCACAGGCGGATGCAAGCGGCTAACTTCCGCGGCACTTCAGCTTGGACAAATGGCACATAGCCATCCAGTATTAATAAGGTAAAGCGCGAGTTGGGAACGTTTGTTACACTGACCGCTTCTCCGTTCTTTTCCAACCGTTTTTTATTGGTCTTGCTTTCTAGACAGCATTCGGCGATCTCCAACATAATGCAACCTAAGCTCCAGATATCAGTTTTCCGTCCCGGATTGACTGCTTCAACTTGGCCGAATTTTTTCAGCATTTCGGGTGACATGTAGCGTACAGTTCCGCGCAACTGCAGTATATCTTTGGAGCAGGTGGTGCTTTCTTGCATTTGGATTAAATCGTCCAGGTCACCAACTAGTAGCGTTTTGCCACCGGCGGCCAGACCCCTGACCAGGATGTTTCCAGGTTTCAAATCTCCATGGATTATTCCCCGACGATGCAAGAAATCTACTCCCGTTGCTATTTCGACACAGTACCTTTCGACATCATCGTATTGCAAAGCTTCGCTTTCTTGGGCTTGCTTCAAAAGTGATGCGAGGTCACCTGAAACAAGCGTCTGGCTCACTGCGAACGCTACACTAATACATGCAACTTGAATGATCAAACAATTTTTGGGATAAGTTGAGATTCGAGGCCATTGGTGCTAGTTCAGGTGTATCTGAATGGCACCAGGCGGTTGTGACTGACAGGAAGAATGATCGGCTGAAGTTGATTTTTTTATGAAAATGTGGGCACGATGGCTAAAGCGCCTTCAACCATCGTCATCCCAATTTAATTGGCTCCAGTGATGCCCATGAATTCGCCTTGCCAGGTACACTTACAAACGTGCATGAAATTCTGAAAGCTGGTTCTTTTAACAATGAAAATTCAAGGTCGTGCACTGGACTCCATATACGGTACAAATTATAACTAAATTTAAACAGTTCAAGTATTACTATTTAAGTACTATGTGCGCATACATACAAGTGCGCATACAACCAAGTTGAAGCAACACAGGCCTCAGGCTATCATTCGAGCTGAACGCTAAGGTTCTTAGCAGCATCATTGTTTATGTAGTGAAATATGGAACTGCGACATCTTGTCGTTGTCGATTATAATTATTACAGAGCAGTGGGCTCACCGCTACAGCGCTCCATCAGTATCTCTATCATTGCTCCGGCAGCAAATTTCGTAATACGGATTTGGTGGTACGGTATCAAGTGTTTGTGCACCAACTGAGGAAGCATGCTTAATCTGGCAAGCGTTTTCGTCCAATTTTCTGCGTCCGTATAAATTTCGGAGTTTGGGGGTAGATGAATAGCTTTAACAGCCGCAACGGCTTCTCCATTATAATCGCCCTGCTCTGTAATTACCGCTTTGTAAACAATGCCAAAGGCTCCTTTTCCAATAAAGTCAGCATTAGAGTAAACAAACTGACAGTTACTGCCAAAAGTCATAATTCTTCGATTATCAGATTCGGTAGATCTGTCGGTTGCCATTTCGACTTTGTAGTCACCTGAGCGAAACACATCTGACGTCGCGATGAGGAGACTTAATAAGAAACCAGGAGAAGACCCACAGTAAACGTTTCGTAATTTCTGACGCTAGAAACACGGAGACTACAGATTATATTGTTGCTATCTTGTTATAAGATCGACTTCAATACACAGCTGCGACTGCGAGGCACAACGGGTTCGGAGCCGCATGTGCTGAGCTGAGAACCGGTTAATGTGGCTGCTTGATAAAATTGTTAATTTTGACAAGAATGCCGTGCACTGACTAACTGTAAGATGCTTAATCATTAGTGTTGTTCTGTGCGAAACATCTGGAAATTACTGTGAACATTATGTAGACTCGTCGACTTTGCAAGCGCAGTATAATAATGCAGCCCTCTTATTTACAGCGTTTCGCGTACATAAAAGCAGCTGCTGTATAAGGAGCTAAGAAGTGCTAGTCGGCAAACTTGAAACAAGCGCTGACGCTGCTGTGTATCACAGTCAGTTAACTGGACACTTTGTCTTACGGTTAACATTGCGCCAATTTCGTTCAACATTTCCAAAAAATTTCGACATATCATTTTCAGACAATTTTGAGACCGTGCAGTCAAAAATGCACAACAGCACAATTCCTTTATGGTTTACATCTAGAATTATCACGATCACGAATTAGAGATAAATCCTACATAATACAGGAAGCTAATCGAAAAAAACTGTACCATCCCCTGTGGAAAAAGTGCGAGATCAGTGCGGGATTACACTAACCACGGTGCAACAACCATTATGTTGACCTTCCAAAAAAATGTCACAACATTTTCACTCCATCCTTCTTGGCGAGTGGATTTTGGATCAAAGCGTCTGGTCGGTCTGGATCCAGTTGTTCTGGACCAACGTGACTGCCTTCGTCGCCGCTTTTCCACCTGCAAAGAAACTCAGTACACCGTTCGTGCGTTTGATGAGGGGTGGATGCAATAGACACACTTGGAAGCAAACAAACCAATCCTCAAACATAGAAATGCCGACTTCTTTTGGACTTTCGTTATCGAATTTGTGCAGCGAGTGCACATACTGCACAGCCTCGTTTATATGTTCAAGAAAGACGTGGAAATCCTGCTGGTATGGAAAATGGAGGTCGATAAAGGTCAAACATCAAACTTTGTTGCCGGTGACCCAATTGGGGAGAACTTACTGCTGCGGAAACGGTCTAATTAAAGACTTGGACCATAAAATATTACTAAACACACAGATATCCATCGACTAGCGTGATGTCACGGCAGCGCACATGCACTGTGCATCGGAGTGGGAAACTTCTGTGGGTTTGTGCGGTATCAAAACATTCAAATTCAAACAATCTGTTCACTTTGGCTCAAAAAATGCATGAAAAAATTTTAAGTTTGAAAGTGGGCTGATAGAGAGTTTAGTATCAGAGAAGCGAAAATTTCACGATTTATGTAGTTCTCGTCAAGCATAGAGGTCTACGAGCAGCTTGCCATAAACGTTTACAATACTAATATAAACTTTATATTTTAGTGAATATGTACCACATAGCTGTACAACCGGAATGTTGGAGCAATGCAACCGGTTTCACTTCGTTGTCACAAAATAAAACGTGTCCATATATCTGGGTTCGTGATACATATAAGTCGTATTATGGAAATACAGTTAGTTCTCCGTAAAGCAAGAACAACAATTGCGACTTCGGTTAATGCTCGTACATAACGGACTTTAGGAAAGTGAGCTCACCTTCGATTAAACTGCAGCTGCACAATCCCCTCCAGGCTTCATGAAAAGAGCAACAAAAAAAGGAAAATGCACATGGCGAAATCTGAGATTTAGGAAACCCAGTTTTATTCATGTGGTTGCTGGATTTTATTCTTAACGTTGCTAGACTCTGCATTTTCGAGTAACCTGACAACTTCCGATGCCAGAGTTGATTTGCACTTGGCCGATACCCGATATTTAAAGTTAATCTACAAATCAAAACCAAGAGTGCAACAATTATGAACCAATTAGTCATGAGGTAATTTTTTTAAAATTGCTGTTACTGTATCTGACATCAGTGACATGGGAATAACAACATGTGTAGCCGTAAACCAAAACTTCTAGAAAAAACAGAAACAGTATCGTATAGCTTCAGGTTTTGAAGTTTTGAAGAGATTGGATACAACTCATGCAGTGCGTCATAGTCACGTATAGTCGTATATCAGCGACCAATAAATAACCGCGTTGGCACAAAACTGTTAAAATAAAATACAAGTTCATTATTAGTAAACAAAATACATGGTCAATATTTGACATTTATACGATTATCCAGTTAAATCGCCGAGAGAGTACTCTAAGGCTTGGGTAACACTGGGTTCATAGTAGCGGTACACCTTCACCGGTCGGGGAGCGACATTTTCGACCGTCAGATGTTTGTAGAGATCCAAATCGATGCACGGCTCCTCCTGCAAGATCTATATAAAAAAGCAATTAATTAGCAATTTTACCCAACAGTATTGAGTGGCAAAAATTATCCTCACAGTAAACTTAAAATCGAGGTCAAGCGTTTGTACAGAGTACGAACTACAAACTACGGAGTTCAACTGCTGCAGAGTACAAACTGCAAACTGGCGTTTTACTTCTGTGAAAACAAAGGTTACTAATTACAGTAAATTACTACAAGTTAAACAAACACAACCAATACTTCGGTTTTTCTCAACAACCGGGCACATTAACTTTTCATTTTTCACAACCGGCCTCCCTTATTTCTGTCCCTCTCATTCAGCTGTTCACGGGGATATGGCCGAAAAATGGACTTTGGTGTAAGATCGAATTTGATTTTCATTGCCAGCGCCATTTCAACTAGGATCAACAGCTGACCATGAAAAAACATCACATGTCTACCGATGACAGGTTGTTTAAAATGGAAGTGTTCTTCAAAATAGTGGAAGTGACCGGTTGTTCAGAGAAGCCAAAGTATTTTGCGGCTTTTATAGGCAGATCACGATGTTACTAGCAGAGCAAGCCGAACTGACCCCTCTCAAACATATTTCCTTTTTGGCTTCATTATCCACACAATCGGCTTTGTCCACTCCCATCCTTTTATCCTTCTCTAAGGCTTTTGCATTTTCTTTATCGAACTGATAACCGGTCAGAGCTGTAGCTTCGATTACGACCATGCCGCTCTCTATCCTGCCTGTGTACCTGCAAATCCACGAAGTTATTTTAATTAAATCTGACTGCAATAATCTGCTAAAAATTATGGTGTCACGACATAAAAAATAGACAGAGAACAAGAAATGAGCAAAATAAAAAATTTTCTTATTAAAGGATTTGTGCTCCATTCAAAAAAAAGTTGCTTTATATGTCTCAAAATACTAACTTTGGACAGATGCTCAAGGGCAGCCGGTCGTTGTTGCTGCCAATACGTCTGAGCCTGACCTTCAGCTCAATGTCAGATTCCCCAGGATTTCCTCGTTTTGCAGCCATTTGCCCAGGCTTGGCTGTGGCTGGCCTTGAGCGAGGTGGTATCATCCGGAATTTATATTCTAACTGGCCCCGAAGACGACCTTTCCCATCAGCAACTACCGTGATCAGATCATGGCCGGATGGAATAGCGATATTTATTATACGCAGCGAGTGTTGTGGCACAGTAAAGTTTCCCAGAGATGTCTTGCCGGCAAAAATCCGCCCGGAAATTTGATTACTGCTGCGCATGGACGCTGAGACGTCGTTCAGAGCATTGAGTGCCACCACCGTGTCCTAAATCAAAATTGTTTTAATAAGTATACTGGCAATCTGCCTAATTTCTGACTAATAATAAATATCCGATGTTCAGTACTTACAGTAATAGTAATTACCAATTCTTATAGTAATACTAATACTTATAGTAATTCTAATAACAACCACAAATTATTTTAATTTCTTTAACCAGACAGACGATGGTGCAAGCGCGACAATAGCGATTAGCAATCGTCAGTTACTGCCCATCACCGAATCGCCATACTTGAGTCGATATAAATCCGCCATTAGCGTTTCGTTGGGCCAGCAGCCAGTTCACAATGCGAAGATCATCAAAATCATGGTCGCTAGTTCCATGCAAATGTATTAAAGCCAAGAGGGCATACGCTGCCGTTTCCACGTCCCGTGCTGTGAAACGGTTCCCGACCTGGTCGTGCTTGTGGGCCGCCAGCCAGTAGCGCTTATCTTCCTGTGAAGTGATCGCCAAGTCATTTAACCTCGCCTTGCACAAACCTTGCACCGGATTCTCCAGTTGGCTCAGCGCGTAGCAGGTAATCGCCAAAGAATACGAATCCGTGACCTTTGATAGAATGCCTTCCAGATAGAATTTGGCCTTGCGCATGGCTGTATGGTTAAGATAATGATTCTGACTGTATGCCAGCGTTACGAAAGCGGTTAGAGCTGGGCCGGTCCCGGATCCTCCCATTAGCCCCGAATCCAGGATGTACCCATCCTCGCGGAAAGAACCGTCCGGATTCTGTTAGGAATCGAGGAATTTGACAGATTTCTCGATCTGGCTGTCGTCGATGGTGATGAACTCTTTGGCCATGGACAAGCCACGGACGACAAAAGCGGTTAACCATGTCGAGCCTGGTTGTTCTTTCCGACCAAGTGTGCTAAAAAAAATCAGTCAATGTCGTAACTTTTGAAACATACGAGGACAGGCTTAGTATTCGCGATCACCTAAAAACTAACGAAAACAGTCCAATGGTTGTGTGGAGTGTCACTGGACTGCTTTCTCCTGGTGGCTGGCTGGTGATTGACTGTTCTGCACAACCCGGGCACGGTGATCGCGAATTCTCGCTAGTTCTTTAGGTGATCGCGAATACTAAGCCTGTCCTCGTATCTTTTGATTTTCATTTCTGTTAACGGTTTTCTGTTTATCTTAGAATTAACAGAATATAGTAGTAGTAATAATAGTCCTACAGGCTGTCTAATTTATTGTTAATACGGTACATCGTAGCCATTCGTACGTAACATAAATTAGTACTGCACATAAAAAACGGCAGATAGAATGATTAAAGGATTCAAATTTTCACACCGATTAAAGGATTCAAATTTTCACACCGAACCTCAGTTGCCTTGGACTTCTTGTCGTAGTGACCTCCTGTAAAGAGCTGGAATGAGAGCCTGCTTGGGATAGTTTTATTGTTGATTGCTGGAACCCTTACCAACTCCGACGATAGTGTCCAACCTAAACCTGGATTCGAAAACGAACACCATAACATTGGACTCCTGGAAAGTTGGCGGTTAATCGACTGCTTACAATTGGTAAATTATAAGACACGTGCAAATACCTCGAAGGAAGACCCTAAGCTGCTTAGGCCGCAAGAGTCCATTAGGCGGGCTTTATAACAGTACCCCTCGCCGTCACCAAATCCAAATTCCGGTTCTGCTGGTCTGGAAAACCTGGCTGATTGCGGTAACACCTATAGAAAATAGACTCATATTATGCCTTGCCAAATATTTCCAATATCAGATTAGCAGGTATTCCAGTAAACTGATTTGTCAGAACAAAATTCACATCGGTGTGTGCGATATCGTTGCCGGTAGCCAATCGCAGAAGATTTTTGTCAACGGCCAGTAAACCGACCAATGACTTTGCGGCTGCTGTGACCGTTATTTGGGCCTTTTCCCGGCGTCCAGGAAGTACATAATCGCGTTGATTTTGCGGACGGAAGTCCAAGGTAATCTAAGGGAAATCAACACATGATTCAAATACATTTTTGTACATAGCCGGTATTTTACATTACTGAAAGCAAAGAATACATTTAATGGTCCTACATAATAGTTTCAGCATATAGTTGGCTTACATTGTGGATGTCTTGGGGACTGGTGACTTTTACTTCCACAGTGTCGGTGACTATATCCATATCCCCGGCAGTGGTACTGGCCGAAAATGCGATAATTTTCAGGCCTGTTCGTGTATCGGGAGGAATAATGACACTTAATGGGCGGCTTTGTTTGGCTGGCCGGGGAATTATTTCGGTACCGGTTATAATAAGACCTTTCGGCGAAATAATCTGCAAGAAAAAACCACTGATTTGGAAGCGCGATTTACTCGTATATTCCGCCCACATCGTTCCTCCGAAATTGCGCATGAATATTATCAGGCTGAATAATTTTTTATCATTTAAAGTTGGCTATAACGATCAGAACATACCGAATAATTAATGCTATCACATCCCGGTTCACACTTCATCGCAAACTCGATCGTTTCGCCGGCACGGAACATGCGCGGTTGCAGCAGCAGAATACGCAGCCCGGCATTCCCGCGATTCTGGATATTCTTTGACTGGCTGACGCCGTCCACTGTCACGTCAACCGACGGCGAAGCATTTCGGTCGTGCCAATCCATTCGCATCTGTACACTAATCATCCCCTTCTCGACATCCACCACTTTGTCGTTAGAGAGTGTGGTCGTGGCGGTGATGTCCGTATTAAAATTCCGCTCAACGGCGGTGATCGCTGCTTGCTGCAAGGCCACTGAATGGCGATACGGCGATCCATCATGGTTAATGGCGTGGATTACAGCTGTGGCGGTGCCGGATTTCGGGACGTTGTACTGGACCTGGATGCGAAGTTTGAATGGGTCGCAGTGGAAAGGAATTTTCACTTCGGCCGACTCTTCGCGGCTGGTCACATTTTCGACCGCGCGGACTTTGAGGGTGATGACACGGGACTGGGGGTTTAATGCCGAGCACATTATGGCGTGAGACGAACGAGGGAAGTTGCACCGGAAAGGAACAGGTTGGCCTTTGGCCGCCTAATTAATTTGGATTGAAATTTTTATTACGTAATTTTATTTGCTATATAAATCTTGTAACAAAGAATTTCCCTTCAGTAATTGTTACGTTTATATTTATCTGAAATGTTTGGTACGCGTTCTTGTTGCTCAAACAATCATACGAAATGCACTAGCTGTTCACAAACCTGCGAATGAAGCTCTTGATTGCCGGTCGCTGAATTCTCGACGGTAGCCATAACTGAGCCGTACGCAGGATTTCCGGCCTGATCTCTACATAAAGGACAACGTAGACCATCACATTACCGTAAAAAATGGTCCTTAGTACGTTAATTCTATTTATTTCCTTGACAAAATTGCCGTTACGTTATTGTAATGTGTACGTATCTTTTCTGGATTTGTTTATTAAAAGTTAGTGTCTAATGAAAGATAATAAAGGCATATTCTGTAGCGCATGCAGTTTCCTAATACCCACCTCAACGCAACGGTGAACTGGAAATCTGGTTGACCTTTTACGATGTAAACTGGTGCGTTGATGTACACCAAATAGCGCGAAAGATCTACAGAATAAAACGTTTACTTATTAAGAATTTCGCTACAAAGGTACTCGTGCAATATTACTCTATCACGGTCGACTTAAACTAACGTGCAAGCGTGTGTGTCATACCTCGTATATTGTAAGATACGAGTCTTTTTGCGTTATGCGTGAGCGGCCGATTCTAACTTACAGTAGTCAGCAACAATCAACTTTTTTCTCTGTATTTGGCTGCCCGCCACCACCTCCACGGTCCAGTTACCAATTTCCGGTTCAAAGCTGAACGGGTTAAAGGTTCCTTCAAAATAGCCAGGATCTGCAAGAAATCACCAGAAGCTCGTAAGTGCATTAGCCAGAGACCTAACCACCGCAGGCATTTCGGATTACGTACGCTTAACATCAAGCCTTTGCTGCTGTTTCCGCTCCTGCATGGCGTCTCCAGCGGGATTCTAAAAATTAATATCAGCAAACATGGTGATAAAAAAAACATAGTGCGTTGCACGGGCATATTTATTGTTAATATTAGAGAGAGGGACATTCGTACTTTTAGATACACGTCAATCTTCTCCACATTAGAGGACAGGGTTAGCTCATTAGTGTTGAGAAGCAGCACCCGATATTTGACGCTTTCCGTAGCTTTGTACATGGGTTTATCCAGTTGGATAAGGACCAGTACGTCGGAAAACAGCTCCAGCGTTTTCAATTTCCTATCGGAGACGCCGTTGTCATAACGCACCGCCACATTGAGAACGATCGGCTGTACGAGCGGAGTGCTACCAATCTGATAAAAACTTTGAAGTTCCGTGAGAACAAATAACATTTTACGTAATGAGTGCTCAGCAAAATACACCGAACAGGGAACCTGCCAGGTTATTTGCGGCTGAGAAGCAAGTAGCTGAGTAAAAAATGAGTAAAAAAAATTAAAAAATTAATTTGCGTTAGGGACGGCAAAATTATCGCTGCGCGCGGTGCTATATAATCCCACTACAATCAATGTACATATCAATTTACTTATCTATCAAGTGTACATTAAATATAAAATATTGATGGTACGTTGAATATAAATGGTACGTTCACAAGATTAATTGCAAATGGAGCAATGGGATAAAATGTTTACCTTAAAGATAATTTTTCCTTGTCGTCCAGCAGCGACCTTTGTTTCGTGGCGATGCACCGCCCGGTCGGCTGCAGATAATGTCGCCGTAACATTGGCGCCTCGGTATTGGTGTAACGAATGCAGGATGATTTCGTAGTCAGTATTGTAGCGAATGAAACGATGGGAATATGCCACGAGAATTCCATCGTCACTGTGATCCCAGGTTTCTTCCGGAAAGAACCCACGTGGATAACTCGATGGATGAACGCAAGGGAAAATGGCTAAAACGGTGACCACTGCTAGCTGCATCATTAAGATCTCGCGATGCATCTTACGTAACGAAAGGAAAAGACCACTTTGAAAATCAATAATTAAGAGTACAGGTACACTGTATTGCGAGAATACAGTTAGAAAGCAATAAAGCAGTTTTTTTTATCGTTGGTTGTCTTGGCAAGTCTGTGTGAAGAAAAGAAGCGCTTAGCTTTTCCAGCGCAACTTTTTCTGTGTTTGTGGATTTGAGAACAAAACGATAGCAATCTGACAAAGCGAGTCCAAGGTTTGTAGTCTCTGTTGTGCTGTTTTGCAGTCAGAGTTGTGTGGTAAATCGCCCGCCAGTCTCTGATGGGCATTCCGCATTGGGGCAAACATTAAGGGGCATCGGGTGACTAACATATCGGATATGTGAATGATGAGTGAATCATTTATGCATCAACATAAATTTTCGGATGGTGGTATGTTATTGCCAGGACGTTTATGGTCGCAGAACGCTACTTCATGTCTGCTGCTGCACATTCTTGACAACTTCCCGCATAGATATTTTGATTAAACCCATGCTTTTGATTTTACATAAACATTTAAGCCGTGGAACGACAAAACTTGGCAGACAGAAATGTAACCAGCATGCACAAAAGACAAACATTGGAGTAAGCAAAGCCGTGGCGTTATGCTCACATACATGAAGCCGGTGTGAAATTCCGTGGGATTAAGGGGATGTACCGCACCCGGAATAAGGAATTGTGCAGTGCGACATCTTGCAGATGGACATCCAGTTGTTAATCGCACATGAGCCGACAACCCTGTTATGAAACTTAAAATTCTGGTCGCTACAAATATATCAAGGAAATATAAATGTTATTGAAAACCTTTGGACGCGCTTTCATCGTCTATTACGGAAATAGAATGGACATTTATTAAGAAACAATAGGATAACGCAGCGCCTTGGGGGTCACAAACAGCCATCATCTGGTATGGTGGGAGTTTTCCTATGAAATGGGATCTTTTGCTTTGTTTCTCGTTGGTGGTATGTTACTCATAATTAATTCATTAAACTCGATCAACAAATAATTGTCAGATATCTATAATTTTTATTCGTTACTGCATATCGTTTTCATTATCCAACAGGCAACTATGAACACTGCATGCGTCATCGTTGTCAAACATTGTTACATTACTACTCGTACAAAATTTCTTAGCCTTATGGAAATTGCAAGACTATTAATTTTATAAAACAGCCAAAAATGCAAAACAACGCAGTTCATTTTTTTCTATATCTGGAATCATCACGGAAAAGATTTCCAACATATCACAGACAACCGACTGAAAGTAAACTAGGTCCACACCAGTTTCCAGGGCACCGGGTTGGTGCAGGATTGAAACTACCGCGCTCCATGAAGCGCTACACCGGACCGTCGCTGATTGGGGCGGGCTTACAAATAAGACTCTCCACTAACGCTTGTATTCCGCGTGGTCGCTCCATATGACAGCTGGGAAAGTTGATGAGCATGTTCTGTAGTACTGTGTCCATTTTGTCCTTAATGACAAATTTTAACGACCTACCCAGAGGAACAAAATTAGGAGAAATGAATGTAAAGCTGTAAATACCGGTACATGTCCTTATGCCAAGCGGAAGTTAATTCTGTCCGACTCCGATCGGTTCGTCTTGCGGCAACTACTGTTCTATTCTGGCCAACTTGCCATGAGTGCAGCCATACTGGATTCTAGTATTCGCACCTTAGTTTTGAATTTTTCGTACTAACTTATGAACGATTTAAACCATTAAGAAAATCTTGATCTTTGTAACGGCACCGGTTGAGTACTATGCATGCATATACAGTTTATAAAACACGTAATATATCAAGTGTTGTTTGTCATGCTGTTTACAGTTTACCTGCTACCTACTCTAGTTGTATTCTGGCTTAACGAATAACCGTTATTTGGGTAACCGATCTCGAAAACGACTGACCTTTGGTAAACTGCTGACCAGTCGTCCCATGATTCGCACCCCAGATCACTGAGTACCGGCTCCTTGAACGCCCACAACTTAAACGGATACGTCGACATCGTGGAACCCAGCCGCTGGAACGTCCCTAAATCCAGGTTCATCCCGCGGGAAGAATTTAAATAAATCCACTTCAGATTGATCATCTTGGCTAGGAACATGTCTGGGATGCAGTCAATAGGGTTCTCCTGCAGACCCAGGTGTTGTAGCTGCTGTCCAAGAGTGGTCATCAATGATTTGAGGTCTTTGATCGAATTGTAGCCCAAGTATAGATTCTTCAGTTGTACCATCGGTTCCAGCGCTCCGGGCTGAATCTCCGTCAGCCCGTTCCCGGTTAGTGTCAACACTTTAAGATTGCGGAGACCGTCGAAATCATGGGTCCCCACCAGGAAAATCTTATTCCAGGATAAATCCAGGGCACGCAGATTACACATCCCACGAAACGTCTGATACCCCAAGGACTGCAGCTGGTTCCCGGCTAAAATCAGAGTCTCCAGATCGGCTAGTGGTTGGCACAGTTCTTCGGTGATGATGCCGATGGCGTTGAATCCCAGATCAAGTTGCCGTAACGTGGGAATATTGGCGTTTTTGAACACCGCAAAGATGGAACTATCCAAATACCCTTTCTGCAGAATCAGCCTGGCCACGGCTGGTGGCAAAGTGGAAAAGGCGTCTGGGTCAAAGCGTGGTTTGGCGATGTTTCCGGGAGTTAAGCAAAATGTCATGTTCAAGATCTGTAGCGTTTTCGGTAACGCATGAAAGAAGCTCTTATCAATGCGCATAAAATTATTACATCCGATGTTTAAGTGTTCCAGATTTTTTATCCTGCTTAGATGCGTGCCATTAAAGCGTTTCATTTTATTCCCGGACAAATCGAGTTTCTTCAGATTGGGGAACAAACGAAAATGTGTGATATAGTGGTTCGTGTCGTCTTCAAACATGAAACCAATGTTCAGTTGATTGCCGCTTAAATCCAGTTCGGTTAACTGCGGGGACACCGGTTCCATGCCGATTGGCAGCAGGCGGAGTCCGTTATCGGAGAGATCCAGCAAGGTCAGGTTGGTGGATAATGATCCAGCAAACATATTAATGACTGTCAAATCTCGAATGGCGTTACCGCCCAAGTACAGCTGTTTCAGGTTGGGCAAACCGGCGAAGCTGGAGCGAGCCGGTAGGAAGTTGGTATGCCTTAGATCCAGCATTTCCAACTGATTGTAATCGGCAAACACCCAAGAAGTGTGGACAAAATCTTGGAATGCGTTGCCTTGAAAGGAGAGCTACAGATATAACAAACAATCAGCCCGTTAGTGGCAAATGTTAAGGAGTCTACTGAAATGTAGGTATCAAATATCTACAAAGTAGAAAGAAATGGCTAGAAAACTAAAATTCATTCTTTACAAGATTTATCATTCGACTTGTGGAAATGATTCCAAGTAGAACGATTACGTAAAGTGGAGGACCTTTATCAAGGTGGTTTTGCCTTACATTAGATTTTTTCTAAACCAAACAGATACTAGCGCTATCTGTAAAAAACCGTTTGACCGCTCAGCAAACGGTTGCTTGGATTATATAATTATCCTTAGTCTTAGAATTAGAGTGGATAATAATAACTACTCGATTGCGTGACGATAGGAGACTGCGGGCCATCATTGCCGAATGCAGCGCTAATCCGCTATCTCTGAAACTTCTGTAACAACCAATACGTTGAGCTTGTTGAACTTAATCTTGTGTGAAAAATGATGTCGCCTTATTTCGAAAGTTGACGAACTTTAAAATCTTTCTAACGACATTTCATATACACTAGATTTAAAAAAAACATTTGCGACTTTCTGAAGAAATTTGCAAACTGGGTTATTGGAACGTTTTTATGGCGAATCAAAACGGCAGCAAAAGAAAGGTATGTCGGAGAGTTATACACTGTTCAAATGACTTGACAGAGTTCGCGTGATATGCAAACTTACGGAACTGGAGCAGTAAACACAATTGACCGTGCCAAACTTCCGTAGCACTTACGTGTTTGGCTTCACGGAATTTCCACAACTGCTCGACGACCCCCGCGGTTATGCTGAATTCATTGGCGATAAAATCGATAAACGCTCCGGACTGGTAGCTGACGCCGTTCAGCATACTCTCACAGATGCGCTGGGAGCCGGACTCGAAGATGTTGTGGGCGATTCGCACGAACTTGAGCGGTTTCACCGTGCTGACCATCTTGTTTGGGATCTGCTGGATGGAGAAGGTAGAGTTGATAATCTGCAGCGACTCCATATTAGGGAAGGCGCGAAAGAAATCACCCTGTACTTCCGTTAGGCGCCCGTTGACAAACACCAGCTCGCGAAGACCCGGAATGGACTGTGTCTCGTCGAAATCGTTTAGCAACTGCGTTATGCCGGTGCGGTACAGCACGACGCGCTGTATCCTGAAGCGGCACAAACTAGCTTTTAAACTAAATTTAATTTTGCCGCTGTACAAATAGCACCAACCTCTCATTATGGGTTATAAGGAGCACTTCTTATAAAAAAAGTTATACGCTACGATTAATATTCAAGTACGAGTAGTTGAGTTTTCACCAGATTTACTTACGTAGGTGGAAGCAATTCTAATGGCATTTCCGCCAGCAGTGGACTGTTCATAATGACGAGCTCTTTCAAATTGGTCTGGTCTCGCAGTTCCGGGAAATACTCCAGATATAAGATGTTATCCAGTTCCAGTCGCAGCAGATCGTCACTGACCGAATCCAAAATGGCCGCGCCGATCCGCGTCATGGGAGAATTCCACACCGCCAATTGCACCGGCTGATTGGAGTCGCGGTAATTCCGTAGATCATCGAACAGCTGCTGCCCTTTGATGTCTTCGCAAGCGATGGTGAACACGCTCTGCACGGTGCAGTCGACAAAACATTTTCCGGATGACATGGTCGGACATTGTGCACCGATTATGCGGAAGACATAAGCAAATTTCACCAGCAAAAATAAGGATGCACTGTATAATGTCATGATTACTCGTTTTCGCGCGCAACTGAATTTTAAAAAAGTTGCTGACTCGAAAAGCTTTTTTTGGTACGAGAGAATTAAATGTATTGTCGTGCATGTGCAATATCCTAGCGCTCAGCATTAACCATGTAGAATCGGCGAAATGCATAGCAATTAACTTAACATATGTATCTGCTGGTGTTTCTACCATGTGCGCGCTGGATATACCGAATGCCTTGCAGCGCTTTAGCGCGCTGTCAAGACAGTGGAGTGGCGATACGGTAGCAATCTACACTGGGCGGTATTTTGTGAGAATATTTTTTTTGCAAGGATTGCCGAAGGCGTTGCATAACTCCCTAGTTCCGAAACAGTACAAGCGCAGGTTGTTCGCACAATTTTGAAAAACATGGTTGAATGTTTTTTATTCTACTAGCGAGACAATAAAAAATTACTCATGTGACAACCATATTAAAGGGTTAACCACATCCGGCTGAAACGAAAGTTTTCTTTCCTTATATAACAAATCATACTATTTACTGAACACTTTTTTCCTGTTCATGAACTGGTCTTGCACTTGCGAGAAATAATACCTCATCTGCATAACTTTTATCCCCTTTTTAGTGGACAGTCCGGTTTCTTGACAACCCAAATCAAACCAAAGTGCGTAAATTTATTATGAGTATGATTAGGCAGAATATGATTTTTGCGGCTATCGGTTCGCGCCCAAACTGCCGTCACGCTTCGGGCACATTGATTTGCTGTCAAAGCGTCAGTTCATATGCAGCGTGGAAAATTATTCTCATTTCATTACTAAAATATGCACGGCGAACACCATCAGTTGCTGCCTTACCTACAGCTCAAGGCGAACGCCGTTCTGAATGTCATCCGATTTACTGCTGTAATAAAACAACCGCAATGTTTTTGGCGCTTCCACTGTGTCTCGCTTGTTTCAAGAGACTCGGCAATGTTCAACTCAACAACCAGTGAATTTTATTAATTACTCAATAATACGCAGTAAAATTATCACTTACTGTATATGAAGTTTCAGCACTGTCACCTTTTAAGGCGGCAGACGTTCGTTAGTAGCAGTAGAAGTATTAAAGTATTACTTTTTTATTTTACCTGTTCTAATTATTGGGTTTTTAAAGTTCGAATGTAAATGGCATTGGCTTGTACAAGTTGACAATAAAGGATGGACTTTTACGAGCGTAAGTTGGCTAATTAGCTGAACGCAGGCAAATGCCTGCGGTCCATTGAATTTTCGTGCAATAAACTCGTTATATTCATACTAGTATAAGGTCGTAACCGCCCTTAGGGCAAGCGGGCGGCGGTGTTAAGGTTTGGATGTGTAAAAACGAGAAATTGAAATCATTGGTCTGTAGATGCTGTTTTTTTTTCGCTTTTTCTTCTTTATCGACAACAGCCAGTATACATAACAACATGCCTGCGCTGATTTACACTAATAAAAATGATCGAATTTAAACATTAAAAAAGCATCCAAAATCGTTATAGCCACTCGTGGCCTTCGGACGTGCAGGCAGTGTACCAAAAACAGCTGCAGCATTTCCACGGATTACAGCTAAACTAAATCGTTGTCTTAAAAAGGCGGTAGATCGAGGTTCGCCTGTAACTTCACGGATCTTTCGGCCGACGAAACGGATCAGCTCGGCAAAAGGCATTCCGAAAGTCCCGAACGTCTCGACTGCCAGCGGGTAAAACAGATATCCCATTTCTTCGATGAAATCGTATGTCCGACGCTTGCTTGCTTCGGCCAGTTGTGCTACACTTCCCGCTTTCTTCGAGCTGGCATGCACAGCTTTCTTCGAGCTGGCATGCACATGAGACACCGCCACAGTATCCCAGCAGGTCGCGTCCCACACAAGCGCTTTACCCTCCCGCACAGGAATCAAGGTCATGCCGTCTGGCCGCTTGTTATTGCGTGCAGACAATCCGACCAATTCAATTCACATATAATTGACCAATTCACATATAGGACGGACTAGCATTCTATTGGTCGATTGTCACGTGGTTCGCTTGCCTAATATCGTCCAGCAGGTGTAGATTGTGCGGACTGATCCTGCATTTGCTGTGTATTTTACTGCTTTTCACTTTTTTCTTTCTGATCTTAAAAAAGGGATTTTAGATTTTTTTAAATGGTTAAGGGCCTTGATAGCTGGATATTATTGGAAATTGCATCAGGGAATTTTCTCGTTTGATATACAGGCTTGAACCGCCTGATTCGTCCACAGCCGAGTTTCGTCGAGTAAGGCAGCTTGCTCATGGTGGATTTGTTGTTTTTCTGGATGCAGCAGGTTCCGAATCGCGGGGTGGCAATTTAGCTATGCTATCGTTATATCTGAAACCCCAGGACAAATCTACAAAAATGTACGCGGACGAATTTCCGCGAACAGCAGGAAAGCAATGGAAGCGTGCAGTGGATCTTTTTTCTGGGCCTTGCACATCGCACAATGCACAGTGCACACCGAGCCATACCCATAACGTTTTTTCTGAGCACAAATGAAAAATGAAAGCAGATTTTGCTTTAGCTGATATACTTTAATTGTAATAATGTTTTGTAATTCGCAAATAAATTTGCAGTCAGCTAATTAACGTGAGGCAATCAAAAATAGTGATCGCACTTTGTTTGACAGATATGTGGAAACTGGAAAGTGGTAGTTGTCAGCAGTCAGCATGGTCCGTGCTGGTAGACGCATTTAAATCTTTGTCTCGCGAATGATCTGGTTGGCTGACTCCTCTACTCACATTTTTAGTTGAAACTAGCAAGTTATTAAGTACAGTGCAATAAACAGTATTTTTTATGAAACAATATTCAGAATCCTAACGATTTTCGGTAGTGTCAAAAGCATTGATGCAGCTGTGTAATATACAGTAATCTACGCCTGCTGCGAATGCGAGACGGAAACCACGTGACTAGCTTACCACGTGGTTTAATATGTGAATTGGTCAATTTAGGCGCTTAAGGAAAGTGAGTTGAACGGGTGGCTGAAAAAATCTCAGCCTTCGTTTTCGGTTTATTTCTCATGAATCACTTATCGCATCGCGAATTGTTCAGACTCACTTCGATAAACAATCTTTGTGACTAACCAAAACAATAAACCTTGTTTCAGGAAAACAAACCGTGCTTGATAAAAGTAAGGCCAGATGAAACTGTGTAATTATTGTATCCCAGCTTGATGAAGTCAGAATCTTTTCGTAATTCTTTTACGTGCGTCATGTTCGAATACCTTTGACTGGTTCAGGAAGAAAATTGCCATTACATTTTACCAACAGGAAAATGTTAGTTGGCACGGTGATTGCGCCGATTGAGCTATAAGGTCAGCAAATTTTGAGAGCTTACTGTAAGAATACAGTTTTTTAGCTACGTACTTCGTTTTTCGCTGTTTTTGTTACCAGTTTTTGCTGCGCAACAGGCGCAACACGAAATGCCGGCTTAAGTGAAAAATGTAGCCAAGGTATTGTCCTTACAGAAACCAGTTTGATCCAAATAAATTCCTAATGCACTGAAGGAAATTTACTTTTAAGCGGATCTCAGTGGATTTTACGAAAATTTGATGGGTTGGGTCTCGATTCTCCCCTGTCCTGGTCAAATAGGGCCACTGAAAGTTGCATTGGTGAACAGCAAAAAAAAAACAGGGAACAACTCCTCCATCAGAAACAGGAGTTAAACTCAGGGTCAGTCAGGTTTAGGAGTTCGGCGAGTTTGTCTGAGTAGCGTTGTGTTCATAACACTTTTTATATTGTTTTATCGTTAAAATCGCATGCTGTACGGTACCTTACAAATCGCGGCTAGATTTTTAAACCTAAAAAGCCGGCGGACTTCTAGTAATATCGTAACTCAATAAGTAGGCGCGGCATTCTCTGCGTTGATAGTACTCGTTTCTTAACAGTTTGTACGGCGAAAGCAGTTTATGATAAAGTATCGAAAGATGCAGTTGCTGTAAATTCTAAATTAAACGCATTGGGTTTTGATTTTTTTACGAGTTTCGGGAGAGGGATGCTTAAAGCCGCGATGTGCATTTAGTACGAGGGGATGGGGCATATTTAACATATTTAAGTGACGCGCCTATGATATCGCAGCTTAAACGAGAAAGATATTATTGTTATCAAACGCACTGATCTGTAAACACTAAAATTATCAGGACAAGAATCGATGATTCAGGGTGCGCCGAAATTGATTTGACGCCCCGGAGTGATAAACTAAGAGCGTGAGCGTTTCTATTTCGTACGCACGGGGAGACGCTTTTAGCATTGATTTTGAGGGAAAGATGGGCGTTAAATTCGGATTTTACGAATATATTCTTTGTAACGTAGCACCAGCACAGTTTAAGATATGGTCACCAGTACAATAAAACTTTCAATTGTACACGATGCTGGTCGACAAACGATACAGGCCTGTTACGATACTACGAAAATAGTTTGTGAATGTCATCCTGACGCAAATCAAATCCTGGTTAAAGCGCCGTTCTGTGTTTAGCTGCCCTTATCTTCGGTTTAATACTTGTTCATCGTCTTGAGTTTTGAAAATCCAATTATTCTGATGAATGTAATATATTTTTTACAACGAACAAAACCTAAGCCTTTTGGGCGAACCAAAGTTGAAGTATTTCTTGCACCCTAAAGTTTTATCTTTTTTTACTTGTAGTTGAAGAGTAGGTGCGCTTAATACTTTATCAAAATACAGCAAATCATTATTATGCTTGAAATCACTTAAAGATCAAAATACATAGAAAACCGCATATTTTGGGAAACGTTACATAAGGAACCAAAGAAGCTATCTCACAAAAGCGTTAATTAAGCATTTTAAATGTTGATTTCTTCAAAGGCGGCGGTTTTAAAATCATGCTGCTATCACAAAATATGATTAGCATTGACAGTAATATAATTTTATCCACTGTTGAGGTTTAGGTTGAATTGCTCCCACTTCCTTGTACGACCAAACAAACCATGTTGTAAAAGAAAATACATCGACATAGTATAATATATGGAGTGGTAGGTAAGCTAGGTTTACAAACCGCTTTCGCTGTGAAATCGGCGTTAACCGAGAAAAATAAAGCTCAGTGACCTTCCGGGTTTGCGGTGTCAGAGGCCCCGGGGTCTGAGGGTGCAGACCACAGTGATTTCTCGGGTTGAACTCAGGTCT